AAAAAAAGAAGAAGAAGAAAAAGGAGGAGGAGGAGAAGGGGTGGAAGTAGGAGGGAAGGAGGAAGGGAGAAAGAACTTGAACAAGTAATCTTTAAATTGAACTTCGCGTGAGGGCTTCCCAGGGAAGGTAAAGGAATTAGCATACACTCCCTAGGTGCCAGGCACTTTGTCTCTGTCAGCTTGTTCTGTGGAAGCCTCAGAGCTACACGGTGAGATGCATGCATATGATCACATCCCTAAACAGTTTAGAAAACAGAGAGGCTGTGCAACCCACCCACCGTCACACAGCGTTTATCTGGAAGGGAAGAGATTCGAACCTAGGTCTGGCTACATTTCCTAGCCCCAAGCACTCTCTAGTTGCCAAAGCTGCCTCTTCTCTGCCCTGCTCCTCACAGGGTTGCAGTCTCCTCTTTCAAAGCTAAACAGCAGAGATTTTTTCCTGGCTGTCCACAAGCCTGCAGATATGTTTCCTTTGGCCCACGTGGCATTTTAATAAAATTTGAGCCAATGTTCACAAATCAAGGGATTTTTACAGAAAAACCCAGATTTCCACCTCCCTAAAACACTGGAAGATTTGACTGTGCTGGGCCCACATTCAACAAGGGGTGGGAGTGTTTGAAAGGGATGCTCCCGCTCTCCGCACTCCCCACCTCTCCCTACCACCTGCCTGGTCCTCAGGCCAAATTCTAGTTGCCATTTATCACAATGCATACACAGTTTTTTCCTGAGAGCAGGGAACTTTTCTCTGTACCTATATTTCTCTCAAAAAAAGGAAAACAATAATCCAAGAGGGGTCGGGTGTCTTGAAAAATGGGAGAACACATATTTCTTTGCGGAACTGAGGAATATTCCTTGGGGTTCATTATACGAGCAAAACGTGGCTGAGCTCCCCCCCCACCACCACGATGTGCTTAGATGTCCTTCCTGGTTACTCTAGTAGGATTGTCGAATTTAGCAAATAATAAAAATATTGGATGCTCAGTTAAGTTTGAACTTCAGAACAACAACAACAAAAATTTTTTAGGGTAAGTATACCCCATGTAACACTTAGAACATACTTATACTAAAATAGTTTCTCTCTTTATCTGAAATTCTAATTTAACTGAGCATCCTGTATTTTATCTGGTAACCCTACCTACTGGGGTTGACAGTGGGTGTCTAAGGGGCTTGCATTTGAATCCGGGTTCCTCCTGTCCTGTTTAGGTGATTTGGGGAAAGTCATTTAAGTTCTTTGGGCTTCTAATTGTTCATCATAAATGATACCATGAAAATTTGAGATAATATATGTGAAGAGCTTAAGACAGAGCCTGGCTCTATGTACGTGCTCAGTAAATGTCAGTCTCTCTTGGACATCATTGGTGTCTACCCAACAGCCATCCCCCGTCTTCTTGGCTAGCGGAACCCTGATTTGTGCCAACCACACTGTGCCCTGCCCCAGGCAATGAATGTGATTGGTCTAGCCAATCATGACACACCCATTCTGGTCTGCCAGTGATTGGTCCAAGATGAGCATGTGACCTGGTTCTGACCTGTAGGACACACCAGGGGAGTCCGCTGCATGGGCGCTTCAGGGAGATGTTCTCCCTAAGCACGGTTGCAGCTGTTGCCCCTGCCCCTCCCCTCCTGCCTTGGACACAGCTGTGGGAGAAGGGGATGCTTGGCCGCAGCTGTCATCTTGTGCCAGGGACATGGCACAAGGCTGGTGTCAGCTGAGGAAGGCAAAGGGCAAGGTCGGAGGACTCCAGAGCTGACCACACCAAACTTCGTCTAAAATAAATGATAGGGGCACCTGGGTGGCTCAGTCGTTAAGCATCTACCTTCGGCTCAGGTCATGATCCGGGGTCCTGGGATCGAGCCCTGCAT